TCTGAGTCAGAGTCAGAGGAGGAGATGTAAGGACAGAAGCAGAGACAGAGAGCCTGGAAGATGCTCTGCTGCTGGCTCTGAAGACGCAGGAAGGGGCCACGGGCCAAGGAACACCAGGCCTCTAGAAGCTAGAAAAGGCTGGGAAGCGATTCTCCCCGGGAACATCCGGAAGGAACCAGCTGCACCCAGATTTCAGAGACCCATTTTGGACTCTGGACCCCAGAACTGGGAGATCGTGAACGTGTGTGGCTTTGAGCCCCTCAGAGTGTGGGGTTGCATCAGCTACAGGTGACTCATGCCCTTCACCCAGCTGCCCCCCCGGTGACACCTTACAACATGGGGCACAGTTGTCACAATTAAGAAACCCACGTGGGCACGTTACTCTGGACTGTGTGCAGACTCCATTCCACGTCACCAGTCTTTCCACTAATGTCCCTTTTCTGTCCCCGGAACCCACCCAGGAGCCCATGTGACACTGAGAGCCTCCTTTTGTGAATCAGAAAAAAGACGAAATTGCAGATTCTGCCGGTTCCGATGCCAAGTTGATCGATGTCCCTGCATCGAGGTCAGTGCTGTGTCTGCAGGGGACAGGACACAGTCCCCTCTGGCTGATGCTGACTGTGGACCACCTACGGGAGCCATTGGGAGACAAAAGCCAGGGGGTCTGTATCTCCTCATTTTTGTCTTGGGCAGGCAATTCTGAGGAATGTTCTACTTGGTTGCTCAGAGGGTCCCACAGTGGTAACCAGCTCCTACCTGATTCTCTCCCTGGCCCCTTATCTCTGCTCTCCAAACCAGCTCCCTGCACAAAACCCTTGCTTCAGGCTCTGCATTGAGGGAGCCCAGACTGAGACTGGGGAAGAGGGACTAGCAGCCCATTTTGGTCCCCCCTTGGAGCAAAAACAAAGACCCACGTCCATTGCTGGTGCTAAAGCTAGCGGCCTGGACCATGCCAGCAGGGGTGGGGATGAGGAGGAAGGGAGGAAGAGACAAGGGGCCTCAGAACCAAGCCCTGGGCACTGGGAGAAGGAGGAGGAGCTTTGAAGGAGAACCATGATGTGACCAGAGAGGTGGAAGACAACCTGGAGGGGGGTGTCCTGTGTGACGGGAGAGGGGAAGGCTTCTAGAAGGAGCCCATATCGGCCAGCATGGAGAGGTGGAGAGAAACAAGGGCAAGATTTGGTCCTGGAGGGAGGTGGGAGCGCAGAGTACCTGGGCACCCAATTTCGGATGGCCCTGGTTTTGGACACCAGAGTCAGGGGGTTTCTGGGGCGTAGGTGGCAGCGGGGATCCCTCCTGCCACGCTGCTCACGAGGCTGCCGGTCTCCTGAGACTGGAGTTGTCCAGCTGAGGGCTCACGGGGACAGACATGTGGATGTCCACCATGTTTGAAAGGCCAGGAGCCCAGATGTAGGCTGAGTCACGTCTCCCCAGCCTGGAATGCTCCCCCCACCCTGCCTGGCACCTTCCAGAAGGACTGGCGCCCAGCCCCGTGAGCCTCCCGAGGCCTCCCCGGGGGTCCGGCGGCTGGAGCTGCCTCAGCAGCGGCCCCACCGCTTTCGGCAGGTATTCTAAGCCAAGCTGCCCGGCTCGCCTCCTGGGGAATCTGCTGAGTCCGGCAAGTTACCTCAGGTCAGCGAGCGAGTGGAGACAGGGAGGGGAAATACGGTGGGGGGACCAGGTGGTGGGGGATGTGGGGGGACCATGGCCCAGCAGGAGCTCAAGCCTGCCACCACCCAGCCTCAGGAGCCCCGGGGCGGTCTCAGAACAGGACGGCCAGGCTGCTGTTGAACGCTACCCCACCCCTTTCCAAAGCTGCCATCCTGGGCTTCCGACACAAACCACGCCTCAGTCTCCCGCTCTGTAAAATGGGGGTGAATGGACTTGACATGAACTAACAACAGTAACCACAAAACGGGGATATCAGTAAACACCAGAAGCCGTGTTTTCTGGGAAGTGGACAAGCTAATGATGTTTGTGTATTTTACTGGACCGTCAACTTTCTTTCTCTGCAGAATGAGAATTCCAGGAAAGACAAACACCTGGGTTTCCCCGCCCTGGTTCTTGAATCGCGCCCTGCATGTCCTTCGGATGTGCAGGTCCCTCGAACCTACAGCCCCAAACTGGGACATCACCCCCTTGGGGGGGTCACATCTCCGAGAGGTCTCCCTGACCCCTGTTTTACGCCACTCTGTTTTCTTTGAATTGAGGTGAAATTCACATAACGTAAAATTAGCCATCTTAGAGCATACAAGCCCTGATTTTTAGTATATACACAGAGCTGTGCAACCCTCACTGCCGTCTAATTCCAGAACGTTCTCATCACCCCCACAGAAACTCTGTCCCATCCACAGTCACTCCCCATCCCCCACCCCCAGCCCCTGGAACCACTGATCCACTTTCTGCCTCTATGGGTTTGCCCGTTTTGGGCATGGACTCCCACAACATATGGCCTTTTGTGGATGAGTTACTTTGCTCAGCAGCATGTTTGGGGGTTCATCCACGTGTAGTGAGGATTCCTTTTTACGGCTAAACCACGTTGCCTTGTATGGACGGACCACGTTGTGTTTAACGGCTCATTACTCGGCTGTCCTTCACTTTGAAGCCCTCACCCCTCCTGGCCTTCCAGTCTTTATTTCCGACTACACTCATCCTGTTCCCCTCTCCCCTCCGGGATGTCACCTCCTCTACCGCAGACCATTTGGGTCTCTTAGTCACCTGCCCAGCGCCTGGCACTCGTTGGGTAAACGTTTGTGGAATGAGAGAAGGAGAAGGATGGAGAGGCGAAGGATGAGAAGAGACAGGAGCTGCTTCAGGAAGTGTTCCTGGGGAGGGACAGGATGGGACACAGGCTGGTCCAACCCCAGCTGCCCCTGGAAGCCGCCGGGGCTAGGCTGGGGCAGGCAGGGAGGCCGGGGCAGGTGGGCACTGGGGCAGCTGGCCAGAGGGCCCATGCAGGCTGGGGAAGGGGTCCCTGCTCAGAGGGATGCTGGCCAGGACAAGGAGGCCTCCTGGTTCCACAGTGGAGGCTCAGCCAGAAAATACCATGCGCAGGAGGGAGAGGCCAAGGGGATAGACAAGGGAGCCAGGGAAAGAGCTGGTCCCTGAGCAGCGGCCATTAGCTGACTGGGCTTTGAGGCGAACGGCCAGCATCTTCTGACTTCTCTGCTGGGTGTTTTGGCAGCTCAGTGCCCGCCCCAGCTCCAGGGCTCCACCTGGCACCTCTCCCGGGGCTGTTGGGGTGGGGCGCCTTGGGGGACGGCATTAGGGAGCTGGGGACAGGGGCTCCAGCTGGGGCCCAGTCACCTGCAGCCTGGCAATCCTGTGCTTCCACGTGCCTCCTCTGGCCTCAGTTTCCTCATCTGAAACATTGGCTAGGAATAGCACCCACCTCACAGAAAGGGCTTCCAGGAGCCTTCCCTGACCCAGTGTGCTGAAGTCTCAGATGATCTCCTTGGAGTTCCTTAAACCTTTGTCATTTTTTGAGGGCCAGGCCGGATCTGTCTTGGGTATATTGAGCCCACCACAGGTTCTGCACACAGTAGATGCTTCCTGAATACCTGAATTAACACCCGTGGATGGAGATACACTCTTGGGAGGTAACTGGCTCTCTGCCCCTGTGGATTCCAGGGTGACAGTGACAAGGTGGCTCAGGCCCCCCACCCCCCTGAGCTGCCCACCTGCCAGCACGCTGCACCTGGCTCTCATTAGGAGGGGACTCGGGCCACAGCCAGCTGGCCCCTATCCCTGCTGGCCCAGAATCCTTGGCTAGACCCCCAGGAAGATGGCCCAGTCCTGCTCAGCCACACACACTGGGGCCCCTGCGCAGCTCCCCATGCCCGGGTGCCCCCACACGATGCACCACACCAGGCGGGCACGTGACAACTGAGAGGGTGTTTTCTGCTCCCCGGGTGGTGTGGCCGGCCGGAAACCAAAATATGTTCTCTGGAAAATTCCAAAGGCTGATTCCAGCCACACAGAGCCCTGCTAACCCCTCCCCACTCATCACGTTATGTAACATTTGGGGATTAATGCCTTGCGTCCACAGGCAGCTGCCTGGATTCAAATCCAGCCGGCGTCCCTTCCTGGCTGGGCAAGCGATTTAACCTCTCTGGGCCTCAGCGTGCTCGCCTGTGAAATGGGGGCAAGATTGTTCCAGTGTCCCAGAGCTGAGGAAAGGCTGAATTGGGAGAAAGCAAGGAAAGGGGTTAGAGCTGAGTGTGGGACACGACCAGGGCTCGGGGATGCCTCCCATGGCCCCCAGAGGGTCCAAAGCTATCCAATGCCTTCTCATCAAACTGTCCCCCATACCCCATCTCTGGCTGCCCTGGGCCCCGAGTCCCAAACCCTAGCGTCAGCCCATCAGTCCCTCCAGACCTCAGCCCTGCTCCTGCCCAAGGCTTCACATCCACTAGCCCCCAGCTCCTCATCTTCTCAGCATCCAGCCATAGCTCCCCAGAGCCACGGGGCTCAAACCTCACACTGTAAGGCGGGACCCAGGACACAGAGATGGGTAACACCCGCAGACAGCGTTTAGACACAGACACCCGGTCACACAAAGCCACACAACACTCACCTGGAGACACAACACAGCACACTGTCACACACGAAGGCACACAAAGCCTGCAGGGAGAACACAGACACACACGCTCAGGACGAACAGACATGCGCCCCGCGCGCGCTCTGGGGAGCGGCCGGCGATGCGGGTGGACTCTTCCGGGCCTCAGTTTCCTGCTCGGTAAAATGGGCGCTCCAACAGTTCCCAGCCCTAGGGAGCCATCCCTGGCCCTGGCCTCCCTGCCTCCCGGGGTCCCAGCGCGCCCATGCGCCCCCACGCTCCGGCCCCCTCCTGCCGCGGGCCAACCCCGGAGCCCCCGGACTCCGCCCCTCCCTGCCCCCGCGGCCAATGAGACGCGCCCGGGCGGCAGCGGTCCCCAGAGCGGTGGTGGCACGGGCGCAGGGTCCGCCGAGGCTGCCCCAGTGCCGGTCCCCGGGGCGCGATGGAGCCCGGGCCGCGGCGGCGGCGCAGGAGCCTCCCGCTGGTGGCCTCCTTCCTACGCGACCCGGGCTCGGGGCGCGTCTACCGGCGCGGGAAACTGATCGGCAAGGTGGGGGGCACCCTCCCGGGTCCGCGTTCCGGCGGCGCGGGGCGCGGGACGCGGGGCTGGGCTTTGTCTGCGCGCGGGGCTTGGAGTCCTGGCGAGTTCGGGGTCTCGGCGGAGAGTTCCTGGGTGGGCGTCAGAGTCCGTGGCGCGGATCGTGCCGGGGAACGGCGTCCGGCGTGTTGTGCTGTGCGCCCAGGGGTTGTGTGGTCAGGGATGTGATGGGTCTCGTGCCTTTGCGTGTGACTCAGTGCTGTGTGGTGTCCCCAGGTGTGTGATGGGTGGTTGTGTGTGTCCAGGTGTGTCTGATGTGTTGTGTGTCTCAGTGTGTTTTACATCTATCTGTGCCTTCTCTGTGTGTCTGTGCTGTGCTGTGTATCTTGTGTTGTGTGTCCCTGTGCTGTGTGCCTGTGCTGTGTTGTGTGTCCCTGCGCTGTGTGTCTGTGTGTTCTGTCGTATATCTTGTGTTGTGTCCTGTGTCCTGCGCTGGGTGTCCATGTGTTGGGGTGTGTGTCTATGTTGTGTGTCCAGGTATGAGGGTAGGAGCTGTGTGTCCATGCCTCTCAGAGTGTATCCAGTTACAGGTGTGTGTGAAGGGACCTGGCCACACATGGAGCCCTCCTCACACCTGCTTGGCACAGGTGTGGCACACCTGCCTGCACACCTGTGTCCACCTGTCCCCTGAGCAGGCTAATCTCCTTCCCCACAGGGTGCCTTCAGCCGCTGCTACAAGCTGACAGACATGTCTACCAGCGCTGAGTTCGCCCTCAAGGTTGTGCCACGTGGCGGGGGCGGGGCCGGACGGCTGTGCCCACGAGGGAAGGTACAACCCCCCATCCATGTCCCGAGGAGCCCCACGCCCAAAGCGGGTCCCCAGAGTGGTTCCTGCCCTTTTGTGATTATGTGTGGTGTGGGGGAGAGTGTATGCCTGTGGGCGTGAATACTGGGGGGTGTGTGCCTGGGGCGCGTCCACCTGTGGGTGCATACATGTGGGGGCCATGCTCACAGGTGGAGCATGAGATCGCTCTGCACAGCCGCCTGCGACACCGCAACATTGTGGCCTTCCATGGACACTTTGCTGACAACGACCACGTGTACATGGTGCTGGAGTATTGCAGCCGCCAGGTGCCCTGGGGGAGGGCTGAGGGTGAGGGGAAGTGAGACAGAGAAGGAGCAGGCAGTGCCCAGCCCATGTCTGTCATGCCCATCTGTGCCCACCCCCTGTCCACCTGGACTTCCCTGTTTCTACCTGTGTCCATATGCCAATTATGTGCTCTCCGCTGTCCAGTCATCAGTCTTCCTGTGCCCACCTGTCCATCTGTGCCCATCCTTCACTCACCTGTGTCCACCTAGGCTCACTTGATTCACCTAGGCACACCTGAGCTCACCTGTGTCCACTTGTTCCCAGCTTATGCTGTGATCATCAGTCCCATCTTAACTCGTTTGTTTCTACTTGGGTCCACTTGAACGCATCCATGCTCACCTGTGCCCACCTGAGCTTACCTGTGCTTACTTGTGGTTATCTGTGCCCATCCCACACTCAGCCATGCCCACCTTGGCCCAGCTGAACTTAGTCATGCCTGCAAAGAAGCCTTGAACTCACTTTGCCCACTTAAGTACACTTGAGCTCACTTATGTCCACTGGTGCCCAGCTTATGCCCACTCTGTGTTCACCTGTGATCATGTGGTCCTGTTCAAACTCACCCGTGGTCATCTGATCCCATCTGAACTCCTGTGTTTCTGCTTGGGCTCGTCTGAACTCACCCATGCTCACCTATGCCCATCTGAACTCACCCATGCTCACCTATGTGCATCTGAACTCACCCATGCTCACCTATGTCCATCTGAGCTCACCCATGCTCACCTATATCCATCTGAACTCACCCATGCTCACCTATGTCCATCTGAGCTCACCCAAGCTCACTTATGTCCATCTGAGCTCACTCATGCTCACCTATGTCCATCTGAACACACCCATGCTCATCTATGTCCATCTGAACTCACCTATGTCCATCTGAACTCACCCATGCTCACCTATGTCTGTCTGAACTCACCCATGCTCACCTTTGTCCATC